AGAATGTCCTCGGAATATTCCGAGGAAATACCGAGGGTTGTAACCCCAAATTCTATACCCCAAACTTATACGGTATTTCCGAGAAAACCTTAATGTTTCCTCGGAAATTCCTCGGAAATTGTGTTATTAAAAAAAAGGTTGTTTTCATGCATCCAACATATCAAAAAATCTCCTAGCTTCTACATTGGGTAATTCCTCCCCTCTAAAATGATCATTTACCATCTGCTCAGTACCTACAGCAAAATCTACATCCGTTCTAATTGGTTCTTCTAACCTATTCGATGTCTGGGGTTCGCTAGTACTACCATATTCATAATCAGTTTCCCCGTGATGATACCAGATTTTGTAACTTCGTGTAAACCCGTTCAAATATAGATGAGTCCAAACATCCCACTCTTTTATAACCTTTCTATTTTTACAAGTAGAGCAAGAACATCTTAACATACCCGTTTTTGCTTCCGGTTGTCGTTGAACTACCGCCATGAATTCCCTAATGCCTTTAAGGTATTCTTCCATAAGTAATTTCGTGTCGGGATCCAAATGAGGTCGATCCATCCACAAACGATAATAATTTGAAGAAGACATGTTTTTGTGAACCAGATTCGTGTGTATAAGTGAGAGGATGAGAATATTGAGTGAATGAAAGGAGAGGAGGGGTGCTTGTATTTATAGATGAAATGTTGCCGACGATTCCGACGAAAGTTCCGACGGAAATTTAGTATTTCGTTGGAATATACAACGGTTAGAAATATCCGTCGGAATTTCGTCGGAATATACAACGGTCATAAATATCCCTCGGAATTCCGTCGGGATATTCCGATGAAATTCCGAGGGAAATGTAAAGTCCTCAGAATTTTCAAATTTTTCCAACGGTTCGTCAACGGCTATAATAAATCCTCGGAATGTCCTCGGTATATCCCAACGGAATGTGTGTTCCTCGGAATTCCGTCGGAATATTCCGAGGGAATTCCGAGGAAACATAAAATTTGTGTTTCATCGGAATTCCATCGGAATTTTCCGAGGAACTCGATGGCCGTCGGAATGTTTCTCGGAATATGCCTTGTTTTCTCGTAGTGAAGTTACGTCATTGACGATAAAAAAGGTTAGTAAAAGGCTTGTTGTGTGTTCTTGCATGTAGATGGCCGAGCTTGAATCTATGTTGCTGGCGAAAACAAGTTAATCAGCAAAACACGATTGTATTCTGTAGTGAATCCTTGGCCTTTGCATTGTACTTTTTTCCCCAGTTTGGTCATGGTTTCTTGATGTCAAAGAGAAGAAGAAAAAGCAGAATTACAAGTTAATTATTCATTTGTTTGGGTATTTGTTTGGTTGTTTCTGAAGCTAAAGTTCCTTTTTAGGAAAATAAAGTATTTTTAGTTGTTTAGAACAGACTAGATATATTAAATGTTTACTCACTCAGTTTTACCTAGGGTCGTGAGTTTGATTCAGAAATAATCTTTTTTTTTTTGGTAATAGAGCAGAAATAATGTTCTTTCGAAGATTTTGTTAGCTTTCACTTGTTGTTGGGCTCTTAAGCTTTTGCGATATCTTTAAGATGGTTTTCTTTTGATCTTGCAACAAATAGTTTCGTACATGTCATATTCCAATATTCCATATATACGTTATGATCATGTGTCCCGTTTGGAGGAGCTGTATTGTCTCAATGTACATAAATCTCAGAAAATATGCTGAAGAAACATGCAGCATCTTCTCAAATGTCTACTAAAGTAGGGTCTCTTTTCTTTACAAAAAACAAGCAAATAAAGCAGCAGTAGCGTAAGTAAACTTGCTACACCGAAGCCAAATGCACAGAGTCACAATATCCGATCAAATATAGCTTTTTAGTCTTCTCCCTTCTGTCATTGGCATCTCTTACCATAACATAAAGAACAGATGATATAACCAATATATAAAATGAACTTCATTACTATTATTTTTCTTAAGACGGATATTCACTAAAGCATACAATATTGGAGTCTACCGGAACCAGTGACACAAAATACACATAACATATAATATTTGGTATTCATGTTAAAAATAACTAGTCTATAATAAATGTAATTATTAATATACATAACATATAATTTACTACATATACATGCACAAATAGTATCTGATATTATGAAAAATGTATATGATTTTTTTGAATAGTAGGTAATGGCAGAAAAACCATTTAATTGGATGAATTCTTAAGTACTAGTTCATAACTGTAATTTATAAGATATTGTGATGACAATAAAATTCAACATCACAGATATTTAAAACATATATAATCGATTTTAAATATTCTCTTAAAATGTAAACATCAATCTTCGAATCCTTTTAAAATATTCACAATCTATCTAACAATACTAAAAACAAAATATAAAGCTCTCTAAGCTATGCCACGTCTGCATAAAAAATCATCCAATGAGGATACTTCTTTTCGCCACGTCAGCAAGAAATTGGGTATTTTGGGCTTCACATTTTTTTTTTAATTTGTTTTGATTATCATTTGAGATCCATCAAGCACAAACCATAAAAAGCTGTCTCTCGCACGATGAATTCTTCTATGTTTCCTGCAAAAATGATTCATTTTTCTTTCTTCTCAGTTTCTCTGCAAAACGTATTCTGAACTTTTGATTTCCTATCCAAGAGTCCGCTCATTGATTCCTCTTCCTTTCTTCTCATCACCTTCTCTACAAAACTCTTACCTAGGGCTGGGCATTTTATCCGTTATATTTGATTCGATTCGTTATTCGTTTCGATTCGATCCGAAAATTCCGGATATCCGTAAACTTTCGAATCAAAGCAAATACTAAAATTCAATATCCGTTAAAATCGAAGCAAATCACAAATAGTAAATTTTTGGGAAGCGGATATCCGATCCGATCCGTAAATATATAAATATATGTATATCTTGATTATATTTAACATTTTAAATGTATAAAATTATATAATTATTATTCTAGCATATGATTTTGAACAATTCTATTCAAATCATTACTTATATAAAAGTATTACATAAAAAGAAAGAAAGAAAATTATGACAATTATATTTTTTTTCTTAAATTTTGTGTTATTATAATTGTAACTTAAGCTTAAAAAAATTACAAAATATATAAATTCACTAGTTCTTTTAAGTTTTATTTTATATATCATGCAAAAAACTTTTTTGCAAAGCAAATTTGTATCAAAATCTTAAGATTATTTGTATTAATCAAAATGGATGAGATATCCGTAAATATTCGTAAATATCCGCAAATATCTATTTATTTTCCGGATATCCGTTTTTCCGGATATCCGTATTTTTTCGAAGCAAATCAAATACCAAAATTAGATATCCGTAACATTCGAAGCAAATCACAAATACCTTAAAAAACCCGGATATCCGATCCGTGCCCACCCCTACTCTTACCATAGCTAAGAGTCACCTTTCTTTTAACTTCAGGCGTCTGAAACTATTTTTCTTGAAATCAACTTTTGTGTGGTTCTCTTGGAAATCCTATGAGAAAGTGGTTATAGACGTTGCAGACAAAAAAAAGAGCTAAAGAAGGGGAATCTGATAAGTTACAAAGAGATTACGACAAATATCTAAATGATGTTCTCTTCTCTGAACTCTGATGGTTTCATGGTAAAAATATTTGATTCAAAAGCACTAAAACTAGAGCGTTATGTTTTGTTTTGTCTCTAAACATGAAATAAACATATGATTTCTTTAACGTGATTTTGTGCACTTATGATCCAGAGAGAGACATAAGGCTTGCTAACAAGGTCTTGAATTGGGAAGGAAACCCTAGAAAAACTGAAGGTTTCCGTAGGATCTCTTGCATTCTCTGAACCATTTGGTTGTTGTAAGAAAACTTATTGTTCCTCTGTGCATTTTTCTCTTCCAAAAGGTTTTGTTTTTGTTATCATACATTTTCACTTTCAATATTGTTATCATTTTTGAGTTTTAGCAGTCTAAGTATGATAATATGAAACTGAGGATACTTCATGATAAAACCCACCATAAAGAGAAAGGAGGAAGAACATATAAATCAGACCTGGAAAATCAATGAAAGGTAAAACGACGAAGTTTATCATCATTTATTGTTCCTGCTCATGTTTTTTTCTTTACATGAAGATATTTCCATTTCAAAACTGTATACTTTTAGTAAACTCTAAGTATGCTTCAAGACTTTCATGCCATTTTAGTTTGTTTTCTCAAGCTTTTAACCTTTACTGACGGTCTTTTGTTTAAACCTTGATTTTAGTGGCAGCTTCAGTATGTTTCTGGAGGTAAGCACACTGCATCATCATTCTAATGTATTTTGTGTCCGTTTTCCATGTCTCTAAAAGACCTAAAACTCAATCTCAGTGAACCGATCTCATTTCTTAACCTTTCTGGAGTTGTGTATGATCATGATTTTTTGTGGTTTCTTTCTCACGGGTTAGCACATTGGGGTACATTCCATCACATTACCGTGTTATGAGGTAGGTGATTTTTTTGTTTGTTCAATACTATGTGATATGCGGGAGTGGTTTCACTAATTCACCAACAAAAAGATGCAGGAGGGAGCTTCATGGACCAGAAGGAAGCCATGACGAGGTTTATGACTTGGTAACTGCTTTGTTTTTTGGGGGATTGCAGATGCTTACAAAAAACAAACTGATAAGGAAGGAAATTTTAATGTAGAAGTGTGTTTATCAAATGATTTCATTGGTTTGGATTTCATTAACTATCTATTGTGTATAGTCCCAAGAATAAACTACACATTCTTTTGTGGGTTTGGTGAAATGTGAAAATTATGAGTGGAGCTCAAGTTTTGGCCGTATGATGCTTTTTATTTTCCTCTATTTTAATACTTTTTATGTTTCAACATGCAATCAGAATTCACGTGTTGCATGGAGTTATGCCAGATGATGTTTCTCGGTAGCTCAATTTTGCTGACCACTATTCAGATTTCGGTTTAAATGATATGGTATGTACTCTCACATAGTAATTTATGCTCTCCCTGTGCTATAAACCATACAAGAGTATGTTGCCAGCAATCCAGGTATTCCTCCCAGTTAATGGTTTCTTCACTTCTTTAAATTTGTGGTAATCTGGAGTTAAAATTTGTAGTTAAAGCTTTAGGAACAATCTCTCATCCTTTTGCGCAATGTGAATTCTTCAAGTCATACGATATCTGCAAAATATAGGATCCCTATGTGCATTTGATTTTTGTATTCTACTCAATTCATGAAACATCCAGATGGTATGATGCTTGAAAAGGGCCAAAACACATTCCTCCTTCATGGGATAAATGCTGTTTATTTCGGCTAAAAATTAGATGATAAATCAGATTGTTGGTTCTAAAATGTGTGTTGGCTTTGATTACTGCATGTATATTATTACTTTGTACTATCTACTAGGAAAGATTTGTTTAATGTATTGATGGTTTTGTTTTGGCAGTTGCTTGCGGCTGGAGGTGGAATGTATGTGGAAGTTTTCAACAGAGTGACTCCATTGGCTTACAACATCATAAAGAAGAATAAACTCGGAGAAACTAACACTTACTTGGATGGAATCTACTTTCGTTGCACTTACTTAACCAAATTTGAATCCATTACTCCAGTCGTGACTGCTCTTACTGCCCATCACGACATTATCCGATTTTATTCCTTAAACATAAAGAAGAAGTACAACTGAAAAGATGATGAACATTGCATGTGTGAATGTGACCACATTTTTTATTCTAGATGTTCCTTCCGAATTTAAGTAAACCTATCTCTACTTCGTATATGTCTTATCATTTTTGTTAATAGTGCTCTGTTTTATTTATCTACGAGTGTGAGAAACGGTAATGCAATTTTTAATATCAGCTATTTAAACTCTTTCATTTAATGTGAAACGTAAGTCTGGATTTGATGATAGACTATATTAGTATATATGCATACTATAAACACATGAAGACTAATGACTTGGCATAGAAGAATATGTTGATAGCTTATCAACTTTCTTGAACTCCGGGAGAAACATCTGAGAATGTATGCATAGTTTAGCAAGTATAAAAAAAAATTCATTATAGCTGGATGAGTTAGATGCAATGATTATTGAATTGTGACTTTATCATATTATGCGCAGGTTACATTTCTTTTCTTTTTTTTAACTAATGCAGGTCATATTGAGATTTTCTGTTTCTTTGAGGTTTATGTCTCTGTAAGATTCAACAAAGCTGCTCGGATTGTCGTATGTTATTCCATAACTTTCTTTGATTCAAGAGTTTTCAATTTTATTCCAAGTTATATTTCCTTCTCTGAAGGAAAAAGCTAGGTGCTTTTTTGACATCCACCAAACCAGGAATGAAATTATTAATATTTTGATTTTATAACCCTTTCTAAAAAATTTTTTTATTTTATTTTAATTATATAATTGATTCCACCCAAAAAAGTAAATATAAATATAAACAAAAAACTGCCCATGAATATGAAAATGTTACAAATGCTAACACAATAAATAAATAAATAAATATAATGTATAGCTAAGATATAAATAAGTGGAGTTAAACCATTTGAAAACTCACAACTAAAGTTTAATTAACTTTTCATTGGATTGCTTACCCTTCTATATATTTTCTAATATTACAAACAAGTTTAAAATTTTGATTCTTCCAAATTGTTGTGCAAGACAAAAGAAAAACAATTTAACATTTTTAATGATTTATATTTTCATAATTGTTCCACATATATATATGCTATATATATTCAAATATAAATGTATTTAAACTTAATAAAATTAGAAAATAAATCTGGGTCGGAAGACAACTGGTAGTGTAAATTTATGACCTGATTTACATATATGTCAAAGAAAATAACAACGAAAACTATTGTCAATTTTTTTACTGTCAATTTTTTACACTTCGCCAATGTCAAAGACAATTTTAACCAAAATAGCAATTTTTTGCTTCTCCAAATAGTATATTGTTTAAAAAAAAATTAAATTACACAATCCGCACATAGCACGGACACGGACCTAGTACTAATAAAAGGGAAAACCGAGGCTCACAGGAGCGTCCACATCAGCATTGAAACCCTGTTCAAATAGATGTCATGTGGCATAAATTAAAGTTTTACATTTTCAAAATATTGATATAATGTATAGTTTTACATTTTAATATTACTAATAAATATAATTTCGAAAATAATAATTAATATGTAAACATACAACATAAAAATGGAAATACTACATTAAACATATATAAGATTGCCATTTTACATTTAAAAAAAAACATTTGAAAATATCGATTTAATGGTAGTTTTACATTTTTTATATCTCCATAATGTAACATTACTATTTTATAAAAAGAGAATATTGATCTAATGTATAGCTTTACATTTTAATATTACCGGAAATATGAGATTAACTATATGTAAGATTACCATTTTACATTAAAAAGTTACCAATTCTCACTAAAAATAATAAATAATATATAAACATATAACATAAAAAATGGAAATACTACATTAACAAATGTAAGATTACCATTACATTTTTAAAAACATTATCCGAAAATATCAATTTAATGTATAGTCTTACATTTTAATATTACAGGAAATACTAAATATATGTAAGATTACTATTTTATAAAAAGAGAATATTCATATAATTTATAGCTTTGCTTTTTAATAATACAAGAAATACTACCTTAAACATATGGAAGATTACCATTTTACATTAACCAAATTACCCTTTCTCACTAAAAAAAGCAGCTTCTCTCTATAATGTAACATTACCATTTCATAAAAATAAAATATTGATCTAATGTATAATTTTACATTTTAATATTGCAGAAAAATCATTATATAAAGAACACAACTTATAGCTCTCTTTCAAACACAACATCAACTCACACCATTCCTCCATAAAAAAAAACTCCAGCAAAAAAACAAATGGTTCCACCATCAATTCTTCATGTGCTAAAAACGTTTGACGACCTCCAAAGAGAATTTAACCAAAAATATTTTGTTAGACTACTTCATTTTCATGAGTCCGAAACTTCACAAAGGGGAACACACTCATAGGAATCGAATTATTCCTCATCGACTGTTGGGGTCAAAATCGGTACGACGGAATCAATAGCCAAAATTCCCCGCAAAAATACAAAAGAAATAGTTTTATAAAACCCAAGAAGTCGTTTTATAAAACTCGAAGTCATTTTATAAAACCCAAAGATCGTTTTATAAAACTCGAGAAGTCGTTTTATAAAACTCGAAGATCGTTTTATAAAACTCAAAGATCGTTTTATAAAACTCGTAGATCGTTTTATAAAACTTGAGAAGTCGTTTTATAAAACTCGAGAATCGTTTTATAAAACTCGAAGATCGTTTTATAAAACTCGAAGGATCGTTTCATAAAAATCGAAGATCGTTTTATAAAACTCGAGAAGTCGTTTTATAAAACTCAAAGATCGTTTTATAAAACTCGAAGATCGTATTATAACTTGAGAAGTCGTTTTATAAAACTCGAGAATCGTTTTATAAAACTCGAAGATCGTTTTATAAAACTCGAAGAGTCGTTTTATAAAACTCAAAGATCGTTTTATAAAACCCGAGAAGTCGTTTTATAAAACTCGAAGATCATTTTATAAAACTCAAAGATCGTTTTATAAAACTCGAGAAGTCGTTTTATAAAACTCAAAGATCGTTTTATAACACTCGAAGATCGTTTTATAAAACTCGAGAAGTCGTTTTATAAAATTCGAAGATCGTTTTATAAAACTTGAAGATCGTTTTATAAAACTCGAGAATCGCTTTATAAAACTCGAAGATCGTTAAAACTCGAGAAGTCGTTTTATAAAACTCGAAGATCGTTTTATAAAACTCGAAGATCGTTTTATAAAACTCGAAGATCATTTTTAAAAACTCGAGAATCGTTTTATAAAACTCGAGAATCGTTTTATAAAACTAGAAGCTTCCAAATTGTTCACCAGCAGGCGAACTAGGAACTCCCCGACTAGGTCGCCTGCTGGCGAACTAAGCCAGCTTGGCTTAGTTTGCCAGCAGGCGAACTAGAGATTTCCCGGATCTCCCGCATCCCCGATTTGAACCTTACGTCATTCGACACGGTCGCATTCTGAACCACGGCCGAAATGTCTCTCGTTTCGTCTCGATCCGACTTATCGTTCGAATTCTATGATAAAAACCGTAAAACTCCGCTTTCTCGAAAAGAACTCGAAGAGATCGTATAAAACGATAACGGTTAAGCAAGACACCGAACATCGCCTAAACTATACGATTTATCCGAGATTTTTCGTTAAGATCATAAAAAACGTCGAGAAAATCGTAAAAACGGCATCGGATCAGGAAACGGTCTCGTATAAAGTCGTAAAACGGTTTTTATCGTAAAACGGCCCGAAAGATCCTAAAACACGATAAAAACCCATCTCGCGATATTAACGAAATCAAACCCGAAGATACGATAACGTTTTGATGGTTTACTCGCACACAGAAGACAAAAGGCAAGTTTGAAGATAAATAGAAGATTTCCGCGGAAGAAAAGGAAGGATCGACAGAAATGGAAAATTCCCGATATATTCAGATTCGGGCGGAATGGAAAGACTAAAACCGCCTAAGAAGGAGTATATAAGCAGGAGGCATAGGGCAGAAGCTGGGACACGATATTTCAAAGCTTTCACCACCAAAATTAGCATTTAGGAATATTTCCGTTTTCTGTTAGCGAGCTGCGTCTCAACTAGGGTTTTTCGTTCTTAGACTTTTCGGCTACTCTTTTTGTACCAGTTCTTACGCAGATTCGGAATAAGAACCTCTTTTCTCTCAATTTCGTTTATTTTCATTTAAATTCTAAGTTTATTGTTTTCGTAATTTTCGTTGTGCGGTTCTGCAGATAGCCGGTTCCTCTGGAAACTTAGGATTTTCCCGAAGTTTCCTTTTTTACGATTTATTGATAGTAGGTGGATTTCGGTTCCCACATCGACTCAAAGATATTCTTCCATGTAACCCATCTTTAAGTAATAAGTAAATATGAGCTGTCACAAGAGTAAAAAAAAATAGTTTCAAGCCGATGGCCTGAGGCTTCTATAGCTCCGACATCGACTTGTTTAATTTGTTTTGCTTTTATCTCTTTGATTTGCTTTCTTTCTGGTTATTTGATTTGTTTGTTTGCCAACTTATTTTAAATCTAGCAAAGTTTTGAATTGTTCTTTTGTATGATTTTTCTAATGGATTTGGGAAAACAATAACTTCGGTTCAGTTGAATCATTTAGAAAAAGTAATTGACAGATCTACTGCGGATGGTGGCGACTGGTCTTACCGGCTTCAATCGTTGATGGTTCTTCACTTGATGGTTATGGAGTTCTTTCTGCAAACTATGGTTACTTTGAAAGTCAACAGAAAATTCTATGAAACGGTAATCTCTTTGACTCTATTATTATCAGAGCAATATAAAGAGTTGTCTTCTCTCATTGGCTCCTACTGGAGTAATAAAATGAGAGTAGCAATCATTCTCAACTAAGTCTGAAACGTGGTGTTTCTGGATTAAGACGAAGATTATCTCTTTTGGGATTCAACTATTCTAGAAGCAAATTTAGAGCTTTTACATGAAAATTTAGTTATCCGTACGCTAAGATGTATCCGTTTGCTATGTTTGTTTTGCTAGTTTTCATTGTTAAGAACTCTTTGCCTAAATGGCTT